CTCCCTTTATATGTTTGCACCAATTCCACAGTAAAATATGCTATAGAATATTAGAGGAGACGTATCAGTGTTCTAAAATGTGATGCACAAATGTTCATGCTGGTTTCACTGTTTTCCATGATGATTACCCAATTTTTATTACTAAAGTGAGAATCCATAGTAAATTTAAGGTGAATTTCCAATTTTTAAAACAGAATAAACTTTTTAAAACTTTGATAAGTTTCACCCATAGTCCTCACAAATCCATGGAAATGTGGCATAAGACGTGGCTAGGTGGGTGGCTGTATTATAATTATTATTATTTATAATGCGCAAACAAATTCTGCAGCGCTGTACAATGGGTGGACTAACAGACATGTATTTTGTTATCTGAGATTGTATGGGAATATGACTAGGCGTGTGGCTAGGTGAATGTGACTGGGTTGGTAAATATATGTATTTTAGTGAGTGGGGTAAATGTGAGTAGAAGGGTGGCTGTACGTGACTGTATGAAGGTATGAGACAGGTTGTGTGGCTGAGTGAATGTCCTGTGTGACGGTATGTAACAGGTTGGGAATATGTAACAGAGTGCATGACAGGTGAGAATAACAAAATGTGGGCTAGCAAGAGAGACAGGGTGGGCTCATGTTAGAGCCACACATGCTGATAACAAGCTAGTTGGGTGGGTGACTGTAAAGAGAATCTACAGGAGGCGCAGAGAGTAAATCTGTTTTTAATGGCGAGGAGTCTGAGTGCATTGCAATTATCTCACCTTTATAGCCATCAAAAAACAATAACCTTATCTTCTCCATTCTATTATTTTTTGTTGTGCTTAAAAAAATTCTCATCTCAAAAACTGTAATTGAAAAGCCAATGTTACTACTAAGGGTACACAATTACACTATAAGTACTGTACATGCCTCCTTTTATAACTCCCACTCCAACAAATCTTCCCCTAAATATTATTCCTTGCATTTGTCATATCATTAACTGCCAGTTGGTGTTGTCTAATTTGAGTCCATGGAAAAAGTTAAATTGCGTCCACATTAAACATGTTAAAACAAAATGCATACGTCTAGCTCAAACCTCAAAGGTGATCCTTTATCGATGACCCCAAACAAGTAAGATTTAATGCTTGGAGTATCGTGTTGACTTGCTAGCACTCACTGTGTCAGTTTAGGCACAAAAAAACTAATTTTTGTGCCTAAACTGAAACAGTGAGTGCTAGCTGCAAGTCAACACGATACTCCAAGCATTGACACTTTACTGTACTGAATGTAGTACATGGAAAAAAGGATGTAGTTCCTGTGAGTTTAAAACATATTCTAGTTTGCGACTGAAATCTTACTTGTTTGGGGTCATCGATAAAGGATCACCTTTGAAGCCCATGGAGCAACACAGGAGGGGAGTGGGCCTTGACAGGGACAGAGATTTGGCAGGTGAAGTTAAGGTCAAGGGGTGTGGAAAAGTAATGTCTGGACAGGGGGGGAGGAGAATAAGGGTTTAAATAACAGCCAATTTGGTGAGCTGGCCTTTTTAATCAAAATCACACTTACTTGATACTTGTCCCTCCCACCCTCCCTTTGTGTTCGGTTGTCTTGTTTGGTAGGTAGTTTCCCGTTTGGTCACAGCGGCGGGAATAGGGCCTGGGTTAAAGAGGATTTAGGTGGAATAGGAAGTGGGCAGGCCAAGGTCTAGGCTGGACTATGCCGGAGTGGAAAATGGTTTGTAGGTTCTAGCTCGTTGGTGGCTACGAATCTGGGGGTGTAGGGGTGTCTGGGTACACCCCTACAGTTAAACATATGGTTATGGGGCCTCTTTGGTAGGCCATGGGTTAAACGTCATGTATTATTGGAATGTTTTATTATGTTATTTGGTAGGGTCATTGTCGGGGGTATTGGGCAAGAAGGTCGGACATAATTAATACTTGTGACAATGACCCTAAATTGTTAAATTGTTGAATTAAAATTTTTAATAAAGCTGTGGACTTTATACTCCAACAGAAATGGTGTCACAGAGTTATTTTATTAAGGTTTTAGCACATGCTGAATAACGACTGTGCACATGTTATGAGGTTTGAGCTAGACGAATGCATTTTGTTTTAACATGTTTAATGTGGACACAATTTAACTTTTTCCATGTGGCTCAAGCTAGTCTTCCCAGATAAGAGCCAATTAGCCTGCTGAAGTATTAAACGTTCTTTCCTCTAATGATGAATTATGGGCTCACAGTGTATAATCCATTTACCAGCTGAAAAGAAAAATGTGGAGGAAAATTCCTAGAGTATAAAAAGAATCATTTTATTGTTTTAATAATTGTTAATTGCAATCTTAACGGAAGATATTAAATACAGGAAGACATAATTTAAGAAGAAAAACGTAGACTTGTCCATTCGACAAAAATCACTCAAATGTCTTAGTAATTTGTTAAGGGAACTCACACTAAAATGATGTTCTTTTGCACTAAAATTGCCATTTTTCTGCTGAAGTCCAAGCCGCCGAGTAATTTTCGTGAAATAATTGTTTGGGCTGCTGTCGGATCCCACTCCACTTTCATCTGAAAATCCAATGTTCTCCAGCCTAACAAATGAGAAAGCACCCGTTCCTAGGAGAAAAACCTGTTAGAACCGTACGTACTGGAGAATACACATAGAAAAATACTATTATAAGCCGGAACGACATTCACCAGTTTAATAATAGGGTTATTGTAAAGTAAAAAGTCTGTATAGCCTTAACATCTTATTTGATTCTCCATCTTATTTGATTCTCCATAATCAGGCAGTAGGGTTTCTTTTACTGTAAAAGAAGTGGATATATGTCTTTAGTACACAGTGCGGATTATTGCACTTATGAAGCCATTGAGGGTAATTCAATACAGTGGGAACTGTCGGAATTTCAAAGAGAATTCAACTTAAATGTAAAATTTTAGGAAAAAGCCATCTATATTTCCATTTGGCCTGTTTCGGTCTAATATTTCAAATTCACTTTAAATTCTTAACATGGAAAGTGTTTTTGTCTAATGTTTTATAAACTTGCTCCCTGTTGTAAAGCTTACAATTCATTCTTATTGCAAGGCTTCACCGATTCAAATGCAATAATATAGAACTTTTAAAAAAAAATGATTTATTTATTTTCCAAAAAATTTAAACATTGTATAATGTACTGCCTATGGCATAATCTATGGCATTACGTCCTTTCGGACATTTCTCTAGAAATTATTAAGAAATTCACTATCAATATTAATCCCTATCCAACTTTTAATGTTTACAATTGGCTATTTTTAATTATCACTATAGATTTTTGTTTTTGCCGTGTAACAAAGGTTTGTCTAAAGTCCGTACAGACAGTGGTACGTAACATTTTTAGATTTCAATAAATGAAACCTTTGAGTTCCAAATGAATGGTTAGTATTTTTTTAACCTAAAAATGACGTTCCTTTGCTATAATTACAAGTAGTGATTGGCCTATGTTAAAACAATTATGCTTTAAATAACGAGAGAAAGTGCAGTCTGCTCATACGGGTGAGCACACCAGAACGATGTATGACCTGGTGTTATCAATGAAATTATGCAACAGAAGCATATTATAATCAGCTGGCATTAGTCCCTTTTGTGTTGAGTATTATCAGTGAGAATAAACACAGGGACATATGAAAAGAAGGCAGACTCAGAATACATGCTCAGACCAACAGCTATTCCACCATTCACAAAGGAGGATTTACTGCACAAAGTATTCCTTTGTCCCTTTACAGGACAAGTCCGGTGTTTGGGGCACTTATATTCATGTAGGTATATAAATATCTGTTTCAAAATGGCTGATTGGTAAAACAGGCTATAATATATGTGGTGTGAATAGCAAAGTGTGAATCATGGGAAATTCTGAGTCAATTCAAGGGAATTTAAAATTTGACACCAACAATACTGAACAGGAAATGTGACAAAATAGCAGGTGACAAACCGTGCCAAACAGAACTGAAATACATCACACGGATATACTCAATCTTAACAATAACCCAATTATGTGTAATAAATTATATACATACGTACTCTCTCTGGAGTAAAGTGATTTTGTATTTCGGTACAAAGAAAACCTCAAAATAAAACAGAAATACAACAAAAAATAGTATAATATGTCTTAAATGGTTTTACAGACAATTAAGTATATAGGTGTCTCACTCACACTTTATGAGCTACTGAGAGCTCTGCTGTTTTGCGCTTTGACGGTACAATCCCCATCTTGGGATATATGTAAATCCACAATTTTATGTGTCCAGTACGACTCCAGTATATAAAATAAAGCAGAGAGGGTCTAATAGGGCAATATGTTAAATATATAAGGTGCACAAAAGCAAAGTATCATACTTACACTTTGGAGAGCAATAAACTTGCTCTGGTGGTATAAAGTCTTGGTGACATAATCCCCACCCGAGGATTTGCAGGAACCAGGATAGTTGTTCAGCAGCAAAACAACAAATTGGATATGAATACATAATTTATTACACATTGATAAAGAATACCCGTGTAATTTTTTTCAGTTCTGTTTGGCGCGGTTTATCAACTGTTATTTTGTCACATTTCTGTATCTTACGCAAGGTTTGGGAATCCATGTAAATGTACTGCTGCCTGTTCACATTATAGCGAGCCCCTACATCTGCCTTTTTACTGAACTGGAAATATTGCAAAGTTTTTTAAGTTTTCCTGTTATGGCCTAAACATGTAAATTAAGTTATTAGTGAATACATCTGTGAATAATGAATTTAATGGAATTGCAAGTGATGATGGATTATATGTTATGATTATAGGGTCAGGGTGCCCAGATCCACCATGTATAAAGGGACAAATATAAGTTTCTCATATTTATTAAAATGTTTGAAAAAACATTTCCTGTTTAATGCATATTCTGCATTATTGCCTATTGCCTACTTGCATAATTGCAGGATTCTTCATTGTCTAATTGCTTAATCTAATACACCTTTTTCTGAATTCTACATTCTACAGAGCAACCCTTTTCATGTGCTGCCCATCAATATGTATATGTAATATGTGTCCTAGAAACCATGGTAGATCTGGTCACCCTATGTAGGGTAGGACACTGACAAATAGGATCCATGACTATACTCTCATGCAGCCACTCACATGAACATGCTATATCTGAAAGATATTAAAACATAGAGCCTCGTAGAGTTTATCTTCACCTTAAAAATAGGACAATTCTTAAGCCCATCACTGCCATACAGCAAATGTTATTGAGGAAGCAAATACTCCACATCTCACCTGGATGTACAATTACAGGTATTTATAGAGCGCCAACATGTTCTGCAGCGCTGAAAGGAAGATTGCAGTTATCCCAGGTCCTCCTCTATAGATCCTTAGAATGCAAGAAAAAAATAAATGAGTGCTCGCAATGGTGTAGTTGATTTTAGTGACACTTGATTTCCCCATCAAATTGTGAATCTGACAACATCAGAATGTTTTTCAAGCCAGACTGGGTGAAATTAAGATTTTTTTTTCTTCTGCAATTTAAAAAAATCCACAAAACCCTAGAGGCAGTACAATTATTTTTATTTATAACACTAGCTCAGATTTTGTTTTAGGTCCAAAAATTGGAACATTCTTGATTGGCCAAATCAATCACCTTACTTAAAGAATCACTATGTTTGCATTAAAATACATTAAAATACTCAACAGAACAACTACATTAAGCAGTAGTTATTCTGGTGACTATAGGGTCCCTTTAAACCCAGCTGAGTGTGTATTCCACATTAAAGAATGCACAGAATAATGTCTGGAATTAAACCGGAAGATGATTGTAGTACAACCTTGAAATTATAACCATGGGAGGCCCAGTGTCTGTGATGTGGATCTCATACTTCAGGAAATTATTGAACCCAGAGTTGCAGCCAACTATTAAGTATGATAATGATAATTCATTTAATTATTTTTGGTCCTCTAAGAAGGAAGAACTACATATAAAAATGGCTGTAATTTCTCCATGGATAACATTCTCTGGATGTACCGTAAATATCTGCCAGTTACAGGTACCAGTCTGCAGTTTGACAGTTAAGATTTACCCTATACAGTGTATTACGACGCCATAATGCATGATCCCCTGGGTCACACAATATGTTAAAGTGAAACTGTTTAACTAAAGCTTTGTTTTACAGAAGTGTCAGTTTAACATGTTAATGCTTTCAGCTGATCACCGTGAAATCTTAGCCATTGACAGAAACATCTGATATCGCATTGAAGGCATCGCTTTGGCAAACCCTACAGTTTACAGCTAAGTCCATTGGCTTCAGCCCACCCAGAGACTTCACTGTCAGCAGGATGATGTAATCTGTCATGCCGCCTCTGCAGAATTGTCTTCCTTATGATCTCAAACTTGCAATTCCAGCAGACTCCTTGTACAATCGATCTCTCATTGCCTGCCGCAGGACTTCACAATCCACTGCATGGGAGATTTATGGAGAAAGGACCTGCCTCTGCATGACATGCACATATATATATATTGCTGAAATCACTATGTAGAATGTTGGTGCACTAGGCTGACTTAATGGAATTTAGAATTCTGACACGTATAAGACAATATTCTACAGATTTTATTCAGGAGGGACAGGAATGTTTACTGTAAGAGGGTTAACATTGCTAATAAACAAATATCTGCTCACTCAGATATAGAACTGCAAGTCTCGGGGGTTCTGAGGTTAAATAATTAGTAATACAATTTCAGAAATTCTACATGTCTCCAGTGTCAATGCCCAATAACACATTGGAATCGCCTGTGTTGGGAATGAATGTTTGTGATGAATGTGCGTGAATTATTATTTATCATTTATTTGTCCTGATTTGATTTTATATTAAGTAGAATGACTGCCTTGACTGACGTTAATGTGCGAATTGTACAATTGCCAGGTTGCACATTGAGATGCGTCTGTGCCACGCTCCCCTGCTAGATTGTAGGGTGTGCTGTGCAGTGCTCACAATGTGCTGCACAGGATTTATGGGATATGATGACCACTGCCTTTGGGAGTAACAGAAGGACTAGGATTGGCTGATGTTTTCACCTAATTATTGGTTTGGTGAGCACTTGGTGAGATACTTGTCATTTACAGTATCCTTTTTTTCACATTTTTTGTACATATCTGATATATATATGAAATTGATTCACTATCTTTGATTAAATATCATCTTTTTGCTTTATTTTGAGTGCAGTATCAATTATTGTTTTTTAGTTTATTATTTGCATGTTTTTTTGAATCCATCTCTGTTATCTACGTAATGTATTAAAAGTTACAATACATTGAAAGCACAGTTTGTGTTTGTTATATTAAACAATACTGCTAAATGACAATGCGGTGTTATTCCTAGCTTTGTATCCATGATAGAATGTGTATATATATATATATATATATATATATATATATATATATATATATATATATATATATATATAAAGATACTTAACACTCACCCTTTTAACCCCTTCAGGACCGATGACGGTTCAGGACCGTCAGCGGTAAAACGTGCGTTTGGACCGCTGACGGTCCTGAACCGTCATAGCAAAAAACGGGCTGCGTGAAGCGATCAAAGATCCAGTATAACACTGTAACTATCTGCCAGACATCCCAGGCAGATAGTAACAGCCAATTGTGGCGTATGAGCGATCCGCGATCGCTCACAATTGGCTGCTGTCAAAGTGGGTGTTACAAACACTCACTTTGACAGTGATCTCTGTCCCTCTCTCCTCTGTAGTGTTTTGTGAGGCGAGAGAGAAAGAGATCGTGATAGTTTGTTGCAGCAGAAGTGTTCCAGAGCTTTATACAGTAGCTTTATACAGTATCTAAAGTGAATAAAAAATCTCTTTTAAAGGACCACTATAGTGCCAGGAAAACATACACTATAGTGCCCTCAGGGTCCCACTACCAGGCGGGGAGCTCTCCTCCTCTCCTCCTCCTCTCCTCTTCCTCTCCTCCTCCTCTCCTCCCATTCGGCTGAATGCGCACGCGCGGCAAGAGCTGCGAGCGCATTCAGCCAGTCTCATAGGAAAGCATTCACAATGCTTTCCTATGGACGCTGGCGTCTTCTCACTGTGATTTTCACAGTGAGAATCACGCAAGCGCCTCTAGCGGCTGTCAATGAGACAGCCACTAGAGGCTTTGAGGGCTGGATTAACCCATTTATAAACATAGCAGTTTCTCTGAAACTGCTATGTTTATTAAAAAAATGGGTTAACCCTAGCTGGACCTGGCACCCAGACCACTTCATTAAGCTGAAGTGGTCTGGGTGCCTAGAGTGGTCCTTTAACCCCTCCCCTGCCAGATCTGTTACAGCAGTGCATTTGTACAGTATGTATTTTTTTTTGCCCTTAAAGGGTTAAATTTGTTTTAAAAATCTGTGTCTTGGTCTGTTTTGGTCTGTCTTAGTCAGTCAGTTTCCTTCTCCCAAATCTCCATTAGATTTCTGTGACAGGAGTTAGTTTAGGGATTGCTGTTTAGTCTGTTTTAGTAAAAAAAAAAAAAAAAGAAAAAAAAAGTATATAAAAAAAAGTGTGTGTTTGTAATTTGTTTTAGTTGTGTGTAAAACATGCAGCGTATGTATAACTTGCAGGAGGCATATGCCTTCTTGGCATCAGACTCTGACGCCACTGACACTGCGTCAGATTTTGACCCAGGTAAGTTTTCTGACAGGTCTAGTCAAGACGACATGTCATCTGTGTGTGAGCCAGCTGAAGAAAGAAGCTGTGCTTCCTCTGCTACGCCGAATGTGGAGGAGGACTGGGTACCTCCACAGTTAGCCGAGCCCAACGTCCCCCCTTTTAGTGCCAACGCAGGCATTAATGTTAATGTGGATGGCTTCTCCCCAATGCAGTATGTAGAACTATTTTTAGGGGATACCATCTGGGAGGATATTGCCTCCCAGACTAACTTGTATGCTACCCAATTTATTGATAACAATCCAGGTAGCTATACAGTCAGAGAGCATGACTGGCATCCCACAGATGCCCCAGAGCTTAAAAAATTCTGGGCTCTTACAATGCTCATGGGGATTATAAAGAAGCCATCGATTCGCTCATACTGGAGCACCAACCCAATAATGTCTAGTCCAGTATTCTCCCAAACCATGCCTAGAGCCAGATACGAGTTACTGCTGAGATTTTTACATTTCAGTGACAATACCCTCTGTCACCCTAGAGATCACCCCCAATACGATAGGCTTTATAAAATACGCCCACTTCTAGACCATTTTCAGGACAAATTTCCACATGTTTATATCCCCAACAAAATTTATCCATAGATAAATCTCTAATGAAATACAAAGGGAGATTAGGGTTCAGACAATACATCCCCTCAAAGCGCTCTAGGTATGGCATAAAACTGTACAAACTGTGCGAGAGCAAAAGTGGATACACGTTTACCTTTTGTGTATATGAGGGGAAAGATGGTCAACTGGACCCTCCTGGCTGTCCTGACTCCCTGGGGACAACTGGGAAACTTGTATGGGACCTACTAAACCCCTTGTTTAATAAAGGTTACCACCTTTATGTGGATAATTTTTATAGTAGTGTCCGTCTGTTTAAAACAATTTATGGTTAACAGACACTGGCCTGCGGCACTGCCAGAAAAAATTCCAAAGACTTTCCACGATCTCTCATAGAGGCAAAATTAAAAAAAGGCAAATGTAAAGCACTTCGCAAAGCTGAAGTGCTTGCACTAAAATTTAGGGACAGGAAGGATGTCAACATGCTAACCACCATCCATGACGAACGCATGTCAGACGTCTCTGTCCGGGGCAGAGTAGAGTCCACACCGGTTTGCATCCGGGTGTATAATAAGTACATGGGGGGTGTTGATTTGGCTGATCAGCTGATGCAGCCATATCTTATTTTACGAAAAACCAAAGCATGGTATAAAAAGGTGGCTATCTATCTGATGCAAATAGCAACCCACAACTCATTTTTGCTTTTAAAAAAAATAATCCAGGGAAAACCACCTTTCTCCAATTTCAGTTGAAAATAATTTCTTTAACAATTTATGGAGATGGACAAGTTCCAACAACGGTGCAAGCTGAGTCCAGACATTTTATTTTTAAGTTACCGCCAACTGCTAGAAAAAAAAACCCCAAGAAACGTTGCCGGGTCTGTTTTAAAAACGGGAAAAGGACAAACACCCCTTTTCACTGTCCTGATTGCCCTTCGAAACCAGGACTGTGTGTAGGAACATGTTTCAAGCT